GTTTTGGTGTGCATCCTATTACGATTTCTCAACATTTAATTCATCCCTAAGAAGCCCAGCTCTTATAAGAAAAGAAATAGCAGCACTGAGCCCTTTACACTCTGGGAAGCATTGTTCTAACTATCCTTTCACACAATCCTAACTCTCGCAGGGCCTGGGAGGAAAACATGTATCACACCTTCCCAAACAAAAAACTGCGGTTACCACGGGGTGACATGCTAGCCCCAAGAGGGAGGAAGCTGGTGGTCTGGTTCCGGTTTCGTTGTGTTTTGGACCATATGCCATTTCCCTACAGCAACAGAAGTCCTTCAAACCCTCCAGGGTTCTGGAAGTGTCATTTTCCCCTCAACGCTCCCTCTTGGCTCCGAATTTGTCAGAAAACGTCCACACCTCAGCCCTGGCCAGGTAGCTGTTGGTTAGTGTCGTCGAGGCACGCCAAGGTTGGGGTTCAATCCCTGGTCAGGGCACATACAAGAGTCAACCAATGAATGCATAAATACGTGGAATGTGGAGGGCCCCTGGGAAGGCACTTGGGCACTTTTTCCTGAATAATTGTCAGCTGAACCCACGGCGACAGGCAAAGCTGTGCTCTCATCCTGGCCCTTTCCTGGTGCAGCCATCGCTAGATGCCACCTGCTACTTCCAGCTCATGGGTTTCCTGTTACTGCTGACCTCAAAAGCAGCAGCTCTGTCCATTGTCCTCCAGGTCCCCAGGCTGCAGACACATAGCTCCAACAGTAGGGGTTTCTGTGCCGACCATGCCACCTCCCATCCCTGCAGAGGCTGCTGGCAGCGTCCAGTGCTCCAACGCCCAGATTTCCGACCACAACCCCTTTCTCACAGGAGTCTTGGCAGGGAAGCCGAGTAGCCACACTGCAGTTCCATCAGTGTCCTTTCAGAGTGGCCCTCCCTCCCAGCCAGAGCCCCTGCAGGTGCAGGTCCTCTGCCCCAAATACTCTCACCCCCACTTCCTTCCCCATCCTCTTCAACCCTTGGTGCCCCCTCTTCAGGGAAGCCTTCGTTAACTCCTCACACTAAGCCAAGCCCCCCATATAAGAGCTCTCTCCTAAATTCTGGACTGGCAGAAAGTGATGGAGGATCCTGAAGAATTGATTCCCACGGGTCAAAGCATTTCCAAAGAGCAAGCACATTCTTCATGTGCCTCGTGAGAACTGGTACCTCGCCCGACAGGCTGCTCACACATCCTTGTGCTCTTCAGAGGGCCTATCAGACACGTGGGAGCTAGTGAAGAAGCCTCTGTGTGTTTCCAGCTTGCCCCACTAAGGTCAGGGAGGTCAAGGTCACATTGACCTGAGTGGCCCAGAAAGGAACCTACTCCTTTGTTCTGTTTACCTTGGTTGACTCACCTTGCTCCTATCACGGAGGGCCGGCACTTCGTGTGAGTCTTGTCCTCTCTGTGGGCCACAGAAGGCAAGGTTCATGAGTGCTCTCTGGGGGGCAGTGTCCCTCACTCCAGCTGTGGGGAATCACTTCCCAAATCAACCCTCAATGAGCCTTGTCTCAGCTCTAACCTCAGGGTCCCCGGCTCCAACAGGTCACTTCTGGCTGGTGGAGACCTCTGGCTTTTGTGCAGAGTAATGGGAAGCCCTTGAAGAGCTGGAAGTAGGTGCTTGATAAGATCTGTATTCCTGAGGGCTGTTCTGGCTCAGTGTGGAGAAGGGGCAGGGACAGTGCCACAAGGGCAAACACAGGAAGACCATGTGGAAGCTCTTGCAGGATGGAAAATGTGAGGGTAGCTGGGAGAAATGCTTGCTGTCTCCCTGTCTCTCTCTGTCTCTCTATATATCGATGACCCTCTCTCACACCTGCAAACAGGCCCTTCTGATCTTAATCAGCCTCATGTCCTATAGTGGATCCTGGGTCCCAGCTGCTGGGAGAGGAAGCCACCTGTGTCCAGCCCAAGCCACCTGTGCAGAAGCTTCCCCCGGGGGTCCCAGGGGAGCTTACAGGGTACTGAGGTCTCAGGGACTTGACTGGACGGGAGAGTGGGAGCCCAGGGAGCCAGCAGGAGGAGCAATGGAAGATTTGCTCCCTGAGTTCCTGGAGGACAGGCTCATGGGGAAGGGAAGCCAGGAACCCAGAGCCCAGATGAGCCTGACAATGCACACCAGATAGACTCAGTGTACCAGTCCATCTTATTGAACCAAAGTCACAGAACATAAGGTGGGAGAAACAGAGGGTCTAGAATATCATCGTGTCCACACCACCTCCCCCACTGATGGAGAGGCTGTGTCTCAGGCCTGATTGGTCGATCTCCTTGACCTGCTGAGAGTATCTGTTTTTTCTTTCCTTTTCTTTCCTTTTCTCTTCTTTTCTTTTCTTTTCCTTCCTTTCTTTTTCTTTTCTTCTCAAACACTGTTCTAAGAGCATTTGCAGTTTCATTGTAATTTCATTGGTCTCTCAGAGCATCCTGGCCCCAATGAGCACCAGCAACTTGTCAAATTTTCCACCCACTCAGCTGTCATCACCACCCCCATCACGGTCCCCATCATCATCATCATCATCATCAAGAAGTCACTGCCTATAGTGGATAACATTGTAATACCTATGAATGATGCCATATGTCTGCTAGACTTAGTGGGTGATCACTTTCTAATCACTAGATTGCACCCCCAAAACTAATATAATATTGTATGTCAACTGTAATTGAAAAATAAAATAAAATAAATTTTTAAAAAGTCACTGGCAGTGGGTGCAGGTGGCCTGGGAGAGGTCCCTGGGGGGAAAAGGAGACTTATGTAATACTTTAAACACTAAAGAATTTAAATTTTAAAAAAAAAAGAACATACAAATCCCCTGGCTACTAATGCAGGTCTTTAAGAACAGACTTTAATATAAATTTGTATTTGAGCAGCTTCATTCATAACTCTAAAAGCCATAACTGTACCTATTTCAACACAAATCTGAGATTGTAAGGTCCATGAAGGTTTTTTATCTTTGTTTCCTGATGTATCCCTAACACCAAAAATTTAATAGTATGTTTCTACACTTATGCCTTGAGCTTGCTAATTGAAAATTTGTTCTATCATTCTTTTTTTTTATTTTATATATTTTATTGATTTTTTACAGAGAGGAAGGGAGAGAGATAGAGAGTTAGAAACATCGATCAGCTGCCTCCTGCACATCTCCTACTGGGGATGTGCCCACAACCCAGGTACATGCCCTTGACCGGAATCGAACCTGGGACCCTTCAGTCCGCAGGCCGACGCTCTATCCACTGAGCCAAACCGGTTTTGGCAGTTCTATCATTCTTATTGCATTGACAATGTAAGGTTTTGGTAGGGACTGAAAGAGAAAATCAGAGGAAGCATGAATTACCATATATTAATTGATTATTATTTCTAATAGCAAGAACTTCAATGCCTTTAGCTTGTGCCTATGCAGGTATAGAAATGAATAATAAACAATTCATTATCTTTTAGAATTTATTTTTTTAATGAAGTATGAATAACTAAGTACTTTCTGTCCAATGACTTGTGTGAATTTCTATGTAAGACATAAGAGAATGTCTGTAATCTCTTCTTTTGCTTGGATAGATGTGACCATCCTTGGGTCTCTTGAATAATTGCTTGAACCACTCCTAGGCCACCCATAGTGTTTCAAGATCAATGTACATGATCTAGTCATATAGGTATGTGGCTCTGTGGATTGTGTACTAATCAGGGAATTGTTAAAACACTTGTGATTATACTTTTATTTTATCTTTATTTTTTATTTATTTTAAATATATTTTAATGATTTTTTACAGAGAGAAAGGGAGAGGGATAGAGAGTTAGAAACATCGATGAGAGAGAAACATGGATCAGCTGCCTCCTGCTCACCTCCTACTGGGGATGTGGCTGCAACCAAGGTACATGCCCTTGACCGGAATCGAACCCGGGTCTCTTCAGTCCCCAGGCCGACGCTCTACCCAGTGAGCCAAACCGGCTAGGGCTGTGATTATACTTTTAGCTATTTCGTTACACAATCATTACTATTTTTCATTAAACTATAGAGAGTGATTTAGAAAAAAAACATCACTCCCTACCTAAGATGAACTGCTGGAAGACAAAGGCGAGCTGGAACTGGAAAGCAGGGCTAGAGACCAGGACCAGGGAGAGACGGGGTTCCTGCTGGGACGGTGAACCCTGGGGAGGGCCAATCCAGGAGCCACTGAAACTCCCATATCCCAACAACGCAAACTCTTTCTCCTTCTTCCATTGTCAACTTTTTAGTAATTCGGGCCTTCTCAGTGCTTATTCCTTCACTTCTCTTTCTTTATTCATGACCCCAATGTCTTTATTCATGACCCAATGTCTTTTTTAGTCAAAATAAAGTTCCTCCCAGCCCCCACTCTCTTGTCCTCTCTCTTCCCTGATTCCAGGCTCCAGGTTCCTTCCTTCTCTTTGACCCACCTGCCATCTGCATGAACCTCTCCTTTGTTGTGCTCAACACCTTAACACGCAGTTAAATCCATTTTATCTCACCGGCTTTTCCCCTCTAACTGTTATATTGTAAATCAGAAGATGCTTTAATCAATAAGCCAAATTTATTTGGAGTCTTTTTCATTTCGCTAACACTAGCAGGCCCACAGGAAATATTGCTTCTCAAATTCTGGGGCCCAATATGGTGGAAGTCCTTTCTATTTATACGTTTTTCAGCTTTTTGTCTTCCGAATTTGGAACAAGACTTCTGGACCTTCTGAGAAAAAGTCCTGTGTGCTGGGCCAGGGCTGTGAGACCAGACCTCAAGGCCTGGCCTGGCGCCAGCACTGACAACTCTGTCTGGGGCATAGTTTATGGCCTCTCTGGAATGGGAGTAGTCTTATTTTTCCCTATTATTTAAGCACGCAAATGTTTACAGAAGCCAGAATAGCGGGGTTAAAGTTTTAAATGGCAGTTTTTACCCAAGATGGAAGTTACTATGCTTCCTAACAAGGTCAGTCCATGCCTTTGTCTCCCACACACCCCTGCTCCCTGCTCTGTCTAGGGATCATGAAGTCAGGGATTCGGTAGACTTTCGAGAAAGTGGGTGCATTCTTCCAATCTCCTCTCCAGCTCCTGGGCCAGCTGCCTCAACTCTTCAGCAGACTGAGCCTTTGCGCCCTTATGTAAGTGCACTGACTTTTTCACTAGCTCAATTACATCCATGAGAATGAAAACAGCTGCTGTGGTTGCACCAGCGATCCTGGCTCCTTTGCTCATGGCCAGAGCAGTGTCTCTAAAAGGGTTCTGCACCTGCTTGTTGCTTGGGGCTGACATTGTCCCCGTGTGCATGAAGCTCCTGGCCTCAGCTGCTAAGACAGGATTGGATTTGGCCAGATTGAAGGCACGGGCATTCTTCACAATATCTTTCACGGATATGGAGCACGTTACTGCTAAGGACACAATTTTGGGTGTGCTTCCAAGTAGAAGCTCCTGGACCACATTCACTTTGTCACTGCCCTTCGACACTAGGCACCTGGCTTTGGCTTTAGCTGACATGTTCTTTGAGACTTCCACGATGTCCGCTGTCACACCAGTCACAGCAGCTGCTGCCCCGAGTCCCACCCCAGTTGCCGAAAGCACCAGACTAGCCCCTAGTGTCACAGGTGCCAGAGACAGGCCAAGGATGGTCAGGATGCCAGACACAACACTGGTGGAAGAGGCCGCCACTTTGGAGATGGTACAGTCCCTGTGCACCTTGTCAACCTCATCCGCAAGTGCGTAGAGCTTTCTTATGCATTCCTCAAGGTCCTGTTCCACCTGAGGAAACTGCTTCATAAAGCTCTCCCTAAACTCCTGTTCTATTGAGGGCATGTCTTTGTCCTCCTCGGCCAAGAGTGTCTCCAGCTGGCGCAAGTCTGCATAGAGTGCATCTGCCGCATCCCTGCAATCATGAAGGACAGGTGATTAACGAAGGCAAGTGTATGAATTGCTAAAGCTGAGATCTGGGATTGGATGAGCTGGTGCGGGAAGCCCTGTCCTCTATGGTGAGAACATATGAGTCTACTCAGAATTCCTCAGATGACACCACATTGGCAGTCCCCATTCTGACTGGAAGCGGTCACTAAGCCTCACTGCCTTCCCTCTGGTCAGGGTTACTCCATGGAGAATAGAAGAGGGTCCCACATGGAGGTCAGGAGCCCTCCAGCTCACAGACAGGGTTGGAGGACATAATCATGCAGGGCCCTCTACCCCCAGCAGAGAGGGGATCAAACCAGGGATAAAAGAAATGTACCTCCCCAGCCCCCAACACAGCTCTCTCCTAGGCCCAGGGCTTTCTCAGTCCTGTGCCCAGGTGCCTCAGCTGCCTCACTGTAGTCCCAGCCACACAGCCAAGCCTTCCTACCAGTTCTCCCACCAGGACCCACCCTTGCTCCTTCCAGACCCTGGGCTCTGACCCTGCTCCAGGCCTCTCTGGGCCTCCGGACAGCATGACTGCACCTGCTTCCTTGCCCTTAACCCTGCAGTTCACCCCAAGGCCTTCACCATAGTCTTATCAAACAGACTTGCTATTCCATTGAAGAGGGAGATGACATAAGCCCAGAGCCCCAGAGCCGGGCAGAGATTCAGTCAGGATTCAACCCAACACGGTCCAGCTTCACTCCAGCTCTTCCCCTTCCAGGCCAGCAGGTCTCTGCAGAGTCTGTACAATCCCTTTCTTAGGGAGAGCAGGCTCTCTAGCCAAAATCCCCAGGGACACAAACTGTGTCAGGATTTTCCTAGCTTGTCCCAAAGGAAGTCCTGCGTGGCTCTCTTGTCCAACAAGTAGACATTTGGGCCCTGTCTACTCCCAGCATCTTTTTAAAAAATATATATTTTATTGATTTTTCACAGAGAGGAAGGGAGAGGGATAGAGAGACAGAAACATCGATGAGAGAGAAACATCAATCAGCTGCCACCTGCACCCCCCGCACTGGGGATGTGCCCACAACCAAGGTACATGCCCTTGACTGGAATTGAACCTGGGACCCTTGAGTCTGCAAGCCGATGCTCTATCCACTGAGCCAAACCGGTTCTGGCCCAGCATCTTTTTAAAAGTTCATGTGAACTGCCCACCTACTATGTGTCAGTCAATAGGCTAAACAGTTTACATGCATTAACTTATTCTCCTTACAATGATATGAAACAGGTGAAAAGACAGAGAGTGGTTAAGTAACAGGCCCAAAGTCATGTAACCCTCCCCCTGCAGGCCTCATCTCTACTCAACCTGAGGCCCTTCTCTGCCGAAGAATGATATGAAGGAAATGTTCCTCATGGACTGTTGAGAAGGAACTTCTTCAACCCCAAACTCAGGACCGGCCTGGAGGAGTGTGCCAGCCAGGGGAATCTAGATGCAGGGGAGATGGGGTGACAATACAGGCATCCCCTGGAGGTTACCTGGACACCTTGCCCTCAGCCACAAATCTCTCCCAGGATTCATCACTCAGCAAGTGTTGAAGTTTCTCTTTGTTAAATGGGTCATTTAAATACTCATTGGCAACAACAAACTCTTCGTCCTCTAAATGGAAAGAAAAAAGAATAAGGTTAGAAGAAATGCTGGTAGAATGGAAATGGAATTGAGTATAAACAATTGAGTATAAATGTTCATCTTCCTGAGCGGCTGTCACCTGGCGGACTTTTTTTTTTCTTAACCTGGGGTGCTTTTGGTGAGTCGCATGGTGCTAGGGATGAAATTGTGTCCCCCAAAATTTATATGTTGCAGCCCTGACTGCCCATGTGACTGCATTTTATAATTAAGGTTAAATGAAGTCATAAGTGTGGCACCCTAATCCATTGTGACTGTTGTCCTTATGAGGGAGGGAAAGACACAGATCTCTCCCCCCGCCACTTGTCTCTCTCTCTCTCTCTCTCTCTCTCTCTCTCTCTCTCTCTCTATATATATATATATATATATATATATATGTGTGTGTGTGTGTGTGTGTGTGTGTGTGTGTGTGTTTAAGACAGATATGTGCCTCATCCTGCTCCTTTTTCACAGTGGTTAGAGCATCGGATAGAGGACCAAAGGGTTTAGATTTCTATTCCTCAGTTGAGGTGCCCTGGCACCAGTGGGGGCTCCTGTAGGGCGACCAATTGATGTGTCTTTGTCCCTGGACTACCACATGTTCAGTCTCTACAAATCAAGGGAAATACATTTTAATATATAAATATTTTTATTGAATTTTTACAGAGAGGGATAGAGAGTTAGAAACATTGATAAGAGAGAAACTTCGATCAGCTGCTTGCTGCACACCCCCTTCTGGGGATGTGCCTGCAACCAAGGTACATGCCCTTGACCAGAATCAAACCTGGAACCCTTCAGTCCACAGGCTGTCACTCTATCCACTGAGCCAAACTGGTTAGGGTGGGGAAATACATTTTTTAAAAAGTGTGACTCTCAGGTTTTTGGAGACCCTGGAAATGCAGATAAGGGACTGGGGACTGGTGTATGTTTTGTGTGCACAGAGACAGGATGTAAATGTGTTTCCTGCCATATACACACAAGGGACATTATTCTTATTTCACAGAAAAAGAAAGCGAAACTCAGACAGGAAAAGAAGGCCCAAAGTCAAGAAGCAGAAAGCTCATAGGTGGCATCCAAAGCCAACCATCAGACATTTCCTTACATTAGGTTGAAGCCTCCTTGTAGTTCAGAAATTCATGTGATTTCTGCATTCTACATTATAGTTTGCCTATGGGACTTTTTCAAATCTATACTAATAAAAGGGTAATATGCTAATTAGCCTGGGTTGACCGGCCATCATCTGGACATCCGACTTCCTTCCAGACAAAGCCATGGTGGTGGGGTCCGAGGCAGAGGCAGTTAGGGGTGATCAGGCCAGCAGAGGGTTAGGAGCATTAAGGCAGGCAGGGGAGGGTAGTTGGGGGTGACCAGGCCAGCAGGGGAGGGCAGTTTGAGGGAAGATCAGTCCTGCAGGGGAGGGCAATTGGGGGCGAGATCAGGCCAGCAGGGAAGGGCAGTTAGGGACAATCTGGCAGGCAGAAGCAGTTAGGGGCGATCAGGCCAGCAGGGGGAACAGTTAGGGGCTAGATCAGGCCAGCAGGGGAGGGCAGTTAGGGGCAATGAGGCAGGCAGGCAGAGGAAGTTAGGGGCAATCAGGCAGGCAGGTAGGTGAGCAGTTAGGAGCCAGGGGTCCCAGGTTGCTACAGGGATGGCCAACTGCCGGTTTAGGGATGTCCCACAGGAATCGGGCCTAAACCGGCAGTCGGACATCCACCAAGGGGTCTCCGATTGGAGAGGGTGCAGGCTGGGCTGACCACCCCCCCCCCCTTGTGCATGAAATTTGTGTACCAGGCCACTAGTTTAAAAATGTTTCAGACCACATGCCACTGATGGAGTAAAACTACCAGGCAAAGAGGATTCTCCCTGCTTCTCACAGATGCTCCAAGGTGGGAAGTGGAGGGGTATGTCCAGGTGGGTGGGGGTTGGACCTCAGCTCTAATCCA